AATTATTCAATTTTTATTCAAATTTTATATTAAAAAAATTAAATTAAATATATTAAAAAATAAATAAAGAGAGTATCAAATATATCATACTGTAAGATAACGATGGAATATATCGTTATAACTTCCTTGTTAATTTACTCGTGCCTTATTAAACAAAATTAATGAATTAGTGCCGGTCACGTCAAGTTTCTAATTAAACCATATGTTTAGCAGCTAATTGAGCGATTCGCTCAATCCCCGCTGTATCCGTGTAAAAAAAAAAAAAATGCCAAACATTCTTTTACCTGCAATATAATGAAGGAAGAAAGATTTGCGCGATAAAGTATGTGTCCGATGTGGTTCTCCCCAATTTTTCGGTGGCCGGAGTTCGATTTCTCCCTGCCATCTTCCATTTTCCGATGGCCGGACTTCAATTTTTCTTACTTTACCAGCGGCTGGGCCTGGAACTCGTCGAGCTTCGGGCAGAGGTGGATGGATTTCTCGATCGTGGATGACGTGCTGTGGATCTTCGTGACGATGGTGGAGTCGTTAGCTGTAGCTGCGATGCTCTGTTACTTCTTTGTGTTCTGTGGATGTACTGTTTGATGTACAAATGTTTCCAATTCCAGAATTTTCCGGTAAGTTCAGTTCAGCCATTGAAATCAGCCGGAAGCTTTGTAGAATTAAACACAGGGACTGCGATTGTCTTTTTCTTTGTTCATGTCTTAATTCTTCCACTTACAGATTGAAAAATTGAAGAATTTGGGGGGTTTTTTCTGATTTCTCAGGATTACATGTTTTTGTTAATTTTTACTATTTAATAAAATCAAATATAACAATTAATTTTCAAATTTAAAATAACAAAATTTAAAGTATTGACTTTTAAAAGTTTAAGCTTTAAACCTAAATCATAGAATCATAACAATAAATCAAATATTTTTTTATGTCTAAGAATTCAAATTTTATGTTTTTATTCAATAAAATCATACTAATCATTAAATAGAGTATCATTTTAATGCTATAAATTTTAGTTTTTGGTGTTATCAGAGGTCGTTAATTTATATTTCGTTACTAAACATTACACTTAATCTAATTTGTTTATTAAAGGCTTTGAGTTTTGATTTTTATAATTTATTTTATTTTTAATTCTTACAATTAAATTAAAATTAAAAGTATAAAATGCCGTTTAATTAATTACAGTATTAGTTGAACAAATCTAACTAATCGGACTAATGACCAGTGGTCAAAAGGATTAAAAAAACACGTTTTTAAAACTAAAAACACAGAAAAATGCCGTGGCCCATGAACACTCTTTTCCTGCACCCTCATCATCACTTCTTGTTCACTTTTAATGGGAAAATAATATAATTAGAATGTCATTCGGTAAATAATAATATAATTTATAATATAATGTATTGTTATTATTCCCTTAAAAATCTTTAATTGATTTTGCACGTGAAATATCTAGATGCAGCCGTGGCACTTTGTTGAAAGCAAGATATAAGGATTTTTTTAACAACTCGTTACTTCCTCAAGGTCAATCTCCTTGTGGATAATAAGAAAAACGTTGATTTAAAATTAAAATTAAAATTTGTGCTTACAGATAATTTGCAAGAAGAAGGGATGTTTTCTTGCAGAATGAGTTGCTAAATCTGATTTGGACAATTTCAAAAACTTAAATACTATCATGGACTTAAGTTAGTAGAGACTAAACAAATTATATGAAATGCAAACTAAAATAAACTTGCAAGAACAAGATGTACCTAGATTAAATTTAACATATTTATTGTCAAATTAAACTACTATCTATAGACAGATTAGAAATTAAATTATTGCAGAATCGAAGATCTAACCCTAAATAACACTAAAGCAAATATGAACAAGGACTAAACTAACATGCCCAAAATTAATAAAAAACGTGGACGTCATATAAGTAATCATTTGGAGAAATGCTACTTATTATAAACATTAAACTAATATCAGTTAGGAAAAGAACAGAATCTTACAAAAATTTGAAAAGCTTGATGTTTATTACATGAAATAAAATTGCTGAAACAAATACACAAACTAATTTGGCTACTAGAATGATGAAAAACAACCAAGTTTACTAGGAATTCTGCTAAAAACTGAAATTTATAAGTTAAAGTGAGTAATTGCCGAAAAACTATAAGTCTAAAAATTTGTCAAATTATGTGTAGGGCTAACCATCTATTGAATGATAAAAAATTTTCCTTTTGCTTTCCTCTTCCTCGCCTGCAACTCCTCACTCCATGCAATTACTCAAATATGGGCAATTTCCTAAAAAAGTTGGATATTTGAGTAGTTAACTGAGTCAAAATTCCATTAAGATTTCACCATCTATTCTATTATCAGCTAACTCACATTCTTAACTGAAACCAACTCCTAACAACCAACTAAAACAATCCCACTGTGACTCAGATAGGCAATCAAAAGATAAAATCTCATCTTCTCGACTATTTTTTTTTATATGGCACCTTATCTGTTATGGAACGCATAATTATATATCTGATATAATTAAATCACCTCTATTCATTTAAAAATATTTGACATGTGACATAATTTTAAAATTTTGCAATATATGATGGAAACAATTATACAATTAATTTTTTATTAAATTTTTTTATAATATTATATATATTTACTTATTTAATAATAAATTATGATTTTTATAATCTCAAGTAGTATTATAGATATAATAATATTGCCACTTATAATATGATTTATTCACAAAATATAAATTTAAAATTATTAATATTGTAAGTATAACATTGCTAACAGGGTATCCATTATTGATTTATGTGAATTATTTAAATTTAAAATCATTAACATCTTAATCTTTTTTTTTTTTGGAGTAGTACAATTGGAGGATAGAGAATGAAATTGTCCAAATTTGAATTTTTAAATTTTTATATGTCATTATATTTTTTTTAAAAGAACTGTGACCATTATACCATAATAATTATAGACAACATCTTAATCAATTGAATTACATCTAACTGTTTTCTTTTTCATTTGATGGATACATCTTACTACCTCATGAGTGTTGAAGAAGGGCCAACAAAATTGGGCTAAAACCTACTTTTAGCCATCTATCTAGGTTTTAACCATTTATCTTAATAAATTTATAGATTTTAATCCCTCATCTTATATTATACCACTTTTAACATTTTATCTTAATAAATTTGTAGATTTTAATCATTCACCTTATATTATAATACTTTTAACTCCTTACTTATATTAGTTGAAAAAAATAACCTTTATTTAATGTCATATTATAACATTCTGTTAATTATGTTAGTTGATTATTAACTCTGTTTTTTGATTGTTAACGTTCCATTAGTGTTCTGTTAACGAAACTAACAAATAAAATTGAATTTGAATTTTATTTTTTTTATAATGAAATACTAACAGATGCTAATAGTTAGTTAACAGAATTAACAATTAGTTAATAGAATTAATAGAATGTTATAAAATAACCTTAAGTAAGGGTTATTTTTTTTCAACTTATATAGGTGAGAGGTTAAAAGTGTCATAATATAAGATGAAGGGTTAAAACTTATAAATTTATTAAGGTAAATGACTAAAAATGTTATAATATAAAGTGAGGGATTGAAACCTCTAAATTTAATAAAATAAGGGGTTAAAAAAAAGTAAATTTTTACCTCAAAAAATGATTGTAGGTAGCATTTCTCAATGATGGCAAATCACCCTCCATCTACGAAATTGAGAATAATGGTAATATATAATTTTTTAACATGTACTTGGTACAAATTAAAAAAATATTAATTACATTATTTTATAATAAATTTATATAAAAATATATTATTTTTAATTTTGATATTATGTGGATAATTCTAATTAAGTATTTAATAAATTTAAAGTTAAATTTTAATTAATTTATACAAATTAATTATAAAAATATATAATTAACACACATATACCTTAATCTATACAAATTAATTCTATTATTTTACAATAAAAGCCCCTGTTATAAAAACCTAATCATATTCATTTTTGACATAATTTCGAAGTTAAAGTTGCCCTATGGCATGTTACCGCCAACAGGCCAACGCAACGTGGAACCTCAGCAAACAAGAGAAAACACTCGGCACCCGGTTTTGCCTCCACGTGTCCGATCTCACGAAACCCAACCGCACGCTACCCCTTTCCCTCTCCCTTCTCCCTCGCACCATCCCTGTTTTTAAGGAAAAGTACACCTGCCCCCACCGTTTTGATTTTGCAATTTTCACTGTTCCGTTTTTGGCTAAGTTGCCGATCGCCGATCATCCTGACCGTTTCGTCGATTTCCCGACCATCGCTGCTCCGCCATTTCCTCCATCAAGCCTCAGTTTCGCTTCTCAAGCGCAGTTTTCCCGTTCTGTTTCAGCTGATTCCTTTTCCTTATCGTCTCAGTTGCCGATCATCTTCGCCGTTTTATCCATTTTCTGATCACCTCTGCTCCGCCATTTCCTACATCAAGCCTCAGTTTCGCTCCTCAAGCGCAGTTTTTCCGTTCTGTTTCAGCCAATTCCTTTTCCGTTTCGTCCCTGTTACCGATCATCTTCGCCGTTTTATCGATTTTCCGATCACCTCTGCCCCACCATTTCCTCCATTCAGCCTTAGCTTTGTGCGTTGTGGCTCTTGGTCACTTTCCTAAGCCGCATGCGCGTAACTTTTCCGTTCTGTTTCCCTTTGAAATCATTGATTTTAGGTTGGCCGCATTAACGCAAATGGAAGGAGAAAGTTCTCTCTCGCTTCTACAGGCAAATAAACTCTGCATTCTTTTTTTCCCTATGTTTTTTGATCGATCATTGTGTTCTAAGTAATGTTTTTGTTGATTCTTCTAGTTGATGGCTAAAGAGGGACTCGTACCATCTCCTGAGGAGGAAGAGAGGAGGAAAAATGTAGTCGAGAAGCTTAAAAAGGTTTTTTTTTTTTTTTTTCTAGTGATTATTTACTCTTATTTTTTATTTTTTATTTTTAACTATTTAAGATGTAGTTTTTGTTCTACACAATCTGCCCCTGATGAAGTTTTTTCACAAACAATGTAATTTTGATGCAGATAATAATGGCTTGGGTCAAAAAGGTTGCTTGGCAGCGTCGGCTTCCAACGAAACATATTGCAGAAACCAGTGCCACCATATTAACTTATGGATCATATGGTCTCGGAGTGAGTTTCTTTTTCTTTTAAATGAACTTGTAGTGTAGTATAAAGTAAATGTCAACTTCAAATTTCCATGGTTTTCTTGCAGTTCTAGTATGTTTCAATCTTCTTTCTTTGTTTGTTTTTGTATGTCGGCCCACTAGATGAGTTTTGTTAAGCAAATAAACTGTATGGCATTGACAAATCAACTGAACATTGCATAGTATAAAATTTCTTCAGAATTTATGTGCTTATGCCGATTGATGGCCTTCCCATTGTTATTTAAAGGTCCATGGTTCAGATTCAGACATTGATGCTTTATGTGTTGGACCTGTCTTCGCAACCATGGCAGTAAGTTGATCTTTACACCTGATTTTCTTTTATTGTTATACTGGAATAATTAGAGGTTCAAATTTAAAACAATCATCCAACATAATGCAGGAGGATTTTTTCATTGTTCTACACAACATGCTTAAAGGCAGAGAGGGCCTTTCTGAAATCCATTGTGTGAAGGATGTAAAAGTACCACTGATGCGATTTAAACTGGATGGGATCTCAATAGATCTCCCATATGCACAGCTTAAAGTTTTATCTGTTCCCGAAGTAAGCATGTAATGACTAGAAGAGCTATTGATAATAATGATCCACATAAAAGAGCTGCATAGCCTAATACCATCATACTTACCTGCATCAGTAACCGTAAAGATTGAAGAGCTGGTACTAATATTTGCAGATTGATGCGTTTTGGTTAAAAAGCCTGAAGGAGCAAAGCCTTGGGTAAAAATAGCACTTAGCGCAGTTATTGCGCTTAAATCATCTTATGCTTTTTAAAAGAGGAAACCATATGTGCCTTTCCAAAAGAAAGAAAAAAAGAAAAGAAAAAATGAGGAAACCATATGAATGCTTTGCATTAGCTGTTATGTTGGAAAAAATTTCTTGATTGCTTAATGGTTGCTGTGTTATTTTTCCTAGCTTATCCATTAATTGTGCACAGTGAGTGATTAATACCTTGGATAATTGATTATCTGAACTGGCATGCAGGATGTGGACATTCTCAATCCATGCTTTTTGAGTGATATTGATGAAACTAGTTGGAAAAGCTTGTCTGGAATACGTGTGAACAAGCGCATTCATCAGCTGGTTCCAAACTTAGAGGTACATTTTAAGTACAATTATCCTTCTTTTTTTTTTTTTCAATAAGTACCATGGAACACAATTTCCTAGTTATCATCCTTTGGGCGTAAATGTCATATTGGTGTTCTCCAGAACTTTCAGTCACTGCTACGTTGCATCAAATTTTGGGCAACAAGACGAGGAGTGTATGGTAATGTAAGTGCAACATGGCTATGGGAATCTTTTGGGCATATTTGAGCTTTTTATGAGCTTATTGTTTTTGCTATAAATTATATAACCAGCAATTCTGTATTAAATGACAGTTAAATGGGTTTCTTGGAGGAGTTCACTTGGCAATTCTTACTGCTTTTGTTTGTCAGTGTCATCCTAATGCCAGTTTGAGTGCCTTAGTTTCAAATTTCTTTAAGACATTTGCCTTATGGCCTTGGCCTACACCAGTAGAATTGCAAGATGGAGCAATGCCAACCACAATAAATCCAGCTGAGACACAGTTTTTTATGCCCATTAGATTGCCATGTAGTCCATCTGAATATTGTCATTCCAACATCACCAGATGCACTTTTTATAAAATCAGAGTAGAGTTTCTTCGAGGCCATAAGTTGACCAAGGTACTAGTTTCAACTTTCACTGTTAAAAGTCCCAGGCAATTTGGAATCTAATGACTATTTTGCTTCTATAGGATGCTGGGAGGCCAAATTTTGATTGGGAAAATATATTTGAGCCATTTCCATATTCAAAGAAGTATATGCGATTCATCAAAATTTATGTTTCGGCTGCTAATCAAGATGACCTTGGAGACTGGGTTGGCTGGGTAAAGTCTCGTTTTCGGTTTCTTCTTATTAAGGTATGAGGTTTGTCTAATATAAGCACCCCCAGGTCTTTTCTTCAGAAATTAACATGTTTTTTGTAATATCATGACTTGAGATGTGAAAGTTGTTGGAAAGTGCAGTTTATTATTTCAACAGCACTTATCATCTTCACTTTCTCATCCTTCCAAATTATTCTCGCAGCTTGAGGAGGTACAGAGTCCATGTGACCCTAATCCTGCTGAATATGTTGATGTAGATGTAGAGGAGCCAAATGCTGTTTTCTACTGGGGCTTACTGCCTGGAAAGACTAATTTCCCAGACATAGAATCTGTGAAGGAGGCTTTCTGGAAGGTTGTCAGCAATGGTTATCAAGGGTCCCTAGGTAGGCTAGAATTATCCATTGTTCAGGTTTCTCAACTACCGAACTATGCTAGGCTGGATAATGCAAGTAGGAAGGGCACAAAAGCTTGTTGGAAGATTTTTGACTACAACCAGCAAAGGATTCCTATATACTCCCAGCATCTTCCAGACTATGTGGTTGGCTACATGACAACTAATAGAGACACCAAGTACCCAAGTGCTGGGGGTTAGATTCTTTCGTGGTATGTCATCATACCCTCACTCTTTTTTGTTTTCCTTCTTATTTTTTGAATTGGCTTTCATGTTAGGGTTGGAGGGTTTGGTTTAGGATCAATAGGAATTAAATCCTAAACGTACAAACATGAAATGTCAATAGGATTGCAGGCCGGAACAGAAAGTTGACTTTATCATTAGTTTTTGTTATTGTTGTTATAAATCCCACAGAAAATATGATTTTGCATTTTAGAATAGTCATTGATTCCGCAGAACTTTCAGAGGTAATGAGAATATCCTGCCTGCATTTTTTTACGATGATCTTTACAAAATCAGTGATCGTTGGGATTTCAATGCCTTACTAAATGGTTGTTATTATTATTATTATTATTATTATTA